AAAAAAAGTAGTTTAGTCAGTATCAGCTACCTTGATATTTGATAATATGACATATCTAGAAGTTACTTCAATAAGAGTGCATAACAAGAATTCAGTAGAACGGCCAATAACAGTGGCTGCTTTGAAGTTTGAACACAGCCAAAAGCACACTATAAAGATAGACAAAATTACTCAAGATAATCCACCCATATAAAACCCAATCAAATTTGAAATGCATTTTACCTGTTCTTTCATCTTGTCCTGGAAGGTTGATGGCAGCATGTTGGGAAAGAGCTTCAAAAACACAGGCAACAGAAATTCCATGAATGGAACTATGATAAAAACAGCAAATGGAACAAGCCGAAAAACATCAGCAGTAGTTCTTGTGAGCTGTTGCCTCTCTCTTCTGGAGAGACTCTTCCCACCAGCAAGTTTCAGCAATAATCTCGAACTGATTCTCACATCAGCCCACAAAAGCTTACTACCCAACCAGTAATGCTGTAATGTAGACACGAATTCGTTCTTCCAATGGACGAGCTTCTTGGCCCAGTCTGCCCTGCAAGTCCAGAAAAAACCAACCATAAAGAACAATCATTTTGATTGGCTGGGCTCGATAGAGATGTCACGATGCACAATTAATATGAAAATAAAATACAGACCTGCTCATTGAAGCCACTGCTCTCAAAGCTGGACCAATACCCAAAAATGTGGCCCATAACTTCTTTAAAACTGGAACATAGAAGCTCTTGGATTCTTGCAGTTTTTTGGCTTTTGCTTTGGCTTTTGCAGTACTCAGTCCAACAACAGCTTGATCACATTCTTCTGGGGAAGCTTCCTTTCTCTTTTTTGCATCCATTTCGTCGTTATCCTCATCATCATTCCCCAGTTCAGGCTTCTTTGCAGTTGCTGTGGAAGCGAAACATCTATGTTGTGACATAAACCTGATACCCATCAGACAATGAAAATCTGACTTTGTATTTCCATATGTGAATGGTGTAATTCCACTAGGTTTATGCCTAAAGATTCCTATGGTTGTGAAATCCAGAGATTTATTGCTCGAAGCGGAAGTTTGACCACTCTCTCTCAATTCATTTGTATTTTGGGTGACATTGCCTGTGATGGAGGTGGTATAAGAATGAGAATCCAGGCATTGAAAAGGTTGCCCACGGCACAAGCTTTGGAGACTTTGACCCGAAAGAACATGGGAATTCAAGTATTCAGAAAAAATCTTTCTCCTCCTCAAAATCGGACGAGAAGCCATCGCCAAGTTTTCTTCTGTGCACAAAGAAAATCAAAGTCACACTTCCTGGACCAACTAATCTAGGTAGAAAAATCACCGGTAAACTGAAATGATTATATTATGTACCCACTTCTATACTTCATATAACTATAAATTAAACAGCCATGGGGAGAAAGAAAAGCGAAACTAGACTCTACAGAAAGTCAGCTGTCAACCATTTATCAGAAAATTGGTCTAACCAAAGCAAATACATGAAACATAACGCAATCATTTCATTTCGGGCCATCATTAACGATATTGTATAACAATAAGTATGAGCAAGGACATTGAAAGACATGTGCTGATTGAGATATAGGGAAACCATAGAGCTATACTATGTGATATAAGTATAACATCACGTTCGGTGCCCCACTTTACGGAACTAACCAGATTCGCTAACAAATCACTTAGCTAGTTTACACATGCCCATCATCCAATCTTTTTAAAAACCCGTTTATATACACCTGCCATCCATATTTCCTTTTCTCATGTTTCAACAATATGAAGAAGAGAGACCACAAACGATATATCTCAACACGAACAGAGAGACCACAAACGATATATCTCAACACAATGAAACAGAAAACACCATAATCTGAATTTCAACAAAAAAAATGTCAAAAAGATAAACCGATCAACCCATTCCAAAACCAACCGCCTGCGCTAATATTAACTAACACCAACAATCTTAACAACACTCAGTTCGCTCGCAGCACGAGAAACCCCAAATTCACACTCCGATAGAATTTTTCAAGAAACTCGACAACATATACAAGAAATCAGAACACTAGAGAGAGAGGACACATACAGTCGAAAACAATGGCGGCGCCGAATCGATCAACGGAAGTGAAATGCTGATTGAATCTATATAAGCTCGTAAACATATATATACATATGAATTTTGTAATAGGCCTGTATATATTGGTAGCTGTTGGGGCTGTCTTGGTGTTTGGGTTACAGGGTTTTGGGAGAGGTTTTAGAGTGTGGAGGAAGAAAGAACGCGGCCGAGAAGAAAGAGTTGGGGTTGGGATCAGGTGTGCGACGGTGTATGGGAGTTAGAATTGGTCAATATTATGCCGATCTCTAGATAGGGTGAGCAAAATCTGAGTCCAAACCGATAGACCGACCGAGCCGAATAGATGTATTCGGTGCGGTGCGTGCGGTTCGATTTTTTAAGATTGTGGTTTAATGCGATTAAAATCACAGAGACCAAAATTTTTGGTGCGGTGTCGGTTCGGTTTTTTTCTCCATAACGGTGTGGTTCGGTTTGGACTTATAGAAATATTTGGTTTTTGATTTTTTGTAGTTCTATTTTGTACTACATTTTACTCTACATCGAATATTTTTCTATTATCTTCGTTGTTTTTAATTATTTTAATAAAAAAGTAGAACTTCACTAAATATATTTTTTACACATTTAACTATTTAAATTATTATTATATAAACTGATAAAATTATAAATAAATACAAAAATTATTTATATAAATTTACTAAAATATGTATCTAAGTATTTATGAATATATTCACTAAGATTGTGGAAAAGTTTT